TTTGTATAGTTTGTGAATTTTTTGAGCTTTATCACTCTTCGCTACCCAAATTTTTCATTAGATATATCGAGAACGTTTTAATTAACAATAACAATTAACAATATTCAGTTTTGTTTCTACGTTGATTCGATCTGTCCTATTGAACTCAAAATAAAAGACACCAGAGAGTCTGAATAAAGTTTATGATTGTCGTGATGTCTTAAACTTTTCTATCCTCAGATTCCTTTATTTAAGTGGTAATATGGTATTATCACTTGTATGTGGAATTTATGTCTCCTAAATGATTCAATAATTTCTACGTGCGAACAATATCGTAAACGAGGCAGGCTATTTACAATAAGTTGATGATACAAATATTTCAACGATCTCGTTTATGGTCAATATTTTGAATTCTATGGTTGATACAATGACCTTGTTTGCAAATACAATCTGTAGTTTAGTCAAATATTGACTGAAGTCTTTCATATAAATTGTTAGGCCATTATTTTCGCATTGAATGGTCTTTTTTTTCTTTTACCAATCATAACAAGGAACACATCAACATGGCGGTTGTAACCGGTCGACAGGGGGTTCTTGCTCCTTCATGGCACTTGATCCCACCTTTTAGAGGTCCGTGTTTGCTCTGGTCATAACTAGTATTGTTGCATTGAATTTTTGAGAATGATCACTGCTTGTTATCTTCACATTCATGGAATACTTGTATTTTGAACACCAAAGTCTGTGATGGTTTTTATTCTAACTTTTGAATTTATAAATGATTTTCAAACTTCTCTCTCAGTTCTATTTTTATAATCAGGTATTTCTGGACTAATCACACTAAAACATATATATTGTTGATCGAATTTTTAATACTTTGGACCGGCAATATCGTCTTTTATTTAAGGTTGATAAAAATTACAAAATGTACCAATACTTCTGACAATATTTGTTTTATTATTTGCTTTGACTTTGTAAAATTCCCCTAAATGACCTGAAAGCCATATACCACTTCTTTTTTTCAAAACTAACAGATACCTGTATAAATTATTCGATTTGTAACTGGCAATCTGTTTTTCTTCTGATAGCAGCGAGTGCGTAACAAAAAACAATAATAGTGTATTGCATAATTTAGCATCAAAAGCATGAATTTGTTGTTTTATTGCAAAAAAATTGATTTGCTTTGGGGGTTTTCTTTTAACAACGCCCTTCTGCTAACATAAATAGTAATTGAGCATGCCACAAAATAGGGTGCTGCAATATCTATGGTCATACTTTTAAAGTTTTTGACATATTTTCTGTCTCCAAAGCTTGATATAAATACGAAGTACGAAAATCATTACTTCTTATCATATTTAAAGACATATTTTAGACATCGGTATTTATCTAAACAGATATTGACCATAAAATATATTTGATTACTCTATCATCTCTGGACGCTAAATATTTCCTACAAAATCCGAGCGTAAATGAGACCCCCGCTTAATTGTAACTCGTTTGAATGACATGCATTCTTATCCGCATAAAAATGGTGCTTAAATCTCACATCCTTGAAAACCAGTTGTCATAAAAATTGAAAAACAATAAGTTTCATTGTATCATCCTAATAGAACATTTCAGATCAGGAAAGAGGACAGAAGGTGCTTTAATACCAAATACATCCTAGATAGACAATTCGGTTGAGCATTGGAGAGGAATCCCACTTAAAGCCGCATCGTAAAGCAGTCATTCTACTATAAAAGGACCAATTCAGGGTATAAAACATGAAAAAAAAAATAATTGTTTTAAATAGCAATATGAACATCATAATTCTCTAAAGGACATATCAGTGAACTTGAAAAAAAAAGAATTGTCCACAAATCTGGCATCGTTAACTTTTTACAACAAATTTAATATAACATTGACTTTAAGGTAATGTTACGGAAGTTAATACATGATCAAGTCTTATTGTTTTTTAAATAAAGCTGAATTTGACCATTTTTTCGTTTTCTGATGTTTAGTTTAGAAAGCTAGTATGATTCACGAATCCAATATCAAGTTAAAATTTCGGGGGAAATATCGTTATGGAAGTTAATCGTTACGGAAGTTAATTTCCAGCAATAAAAGTTTAAATTCTTGGCATTATTAAAAATTAACGTTTGTTTTAGAATGTTAAACAAAAGTATGAAGCATTTCGCTCCAAAAATAGTAAAAACAAAATAATTATACCTTCAGTACAAAATTTTTCCTGAATCACCGTTACGGAAGTTAAATTTTAAATAGAGACAACTGTTTTTGTCTAAATCTTTTTGTTATGTTGAAAATGTTATGGTCTACATTAGCTGACTCGCAACTAGAATCGATGATATATAAGGTTCCATGGTCACTTTCAGAAAAGTTTCAGTTCTTTTTGAAATCTGCATTCTGTGCGTGAAATTTAAAACAAAATCGTTACGGAAGTTAAATGATTTTCAGCGATTTGCTATGATTTCGTCTGAAAGAAGATCCATGCATTTCTTTGCGAGAAGTGGTTTGATTTCTTTATAAATAGGTAAAAAAAACAACTTTTTTTCAACATTTATTCATTCATTCAACATCTATTCGGAACGCTTAAACGGCTGAAAATTTCATCTTAAAATTTTTAAATGAATGAAGCGACATTAAGATTTGCAGAGAAATACTTTTTTCAACAATACATTGTGTTCATATCAAAACTTTAACTGCATATATATCGACAAATTTACAAAACCATATGCGTATATTAAGTCTTAGAGTTGAAATCGATCTTTAAATTTATAGTTAAGATATTAAAACGGTAAATTTGTAAGCGACATAAAAAATTCTTAATTGGGCATGTTTTAATAGAATGACTGAAAGAAACAATTCTTATGAATACAGGAAAGAAGTGCTGCTTAAAACTCACAACCTAGAAAGACAATTCAAACAAGCATTCTGAGAGTATTGCATAAGCAATACGAGTACCTTGCCGACAAGTGTAATTTGGTTCCTCTTAAAATTAAAAATCCCATAATTATATTTAAAATCATTGAAGCAGAACAAAATGCGACATTGATCTACAATTCATCAAGGTACATTCACATACTGAAAATCAGCTCAATTCTGCAAGAGTGCGAAAAAACAAGTTAAACAGACAGACAGAGGGACAGGTACACAAACAGACGGACAGCTAAACAGACAGATGGACAAGCAGACAGACAGAGGGACAAACAGACGGACAGCTAAACAGACAGCTGGACAAACAGACAGACAGAGGGACAAACAGACGGACAGCTAAACAGACAGCTGGACAAACAGACGGACAGCTAAACAGCTGAACAGACAGAGGAGGAGGAAACATAGTCCCTCTGGTATTACTGGTATTATCAAAAATGGCGTTTAAAAGCCGCATCCTCGATGGACCATTACCATGATTATTACTTATATATATAGACAGAAGGGTATAATAACTATTAAGGAAGAATGATGATTAAGAGCCACATCCTAGAAAACCAAGACCACTGAACGCAGAACAAGATCCAAAACAGAATACAACATACTAAAACACAATTCTATTTAGGTGACCAGCACTTTATAACCAGAAGCTAAAAACTCTCCAACATGTGTTTGTTTGTTTGTTGTTTAACGTCCCTCTCGAGAATTTTCACTCATATGGAGACGCCACCACTTGCCGGTGGAGAGCTGCAAATTTTGACCTATACTCGGCACTTAGGGCCATTGAGCAGTGAGGGATCTTTTTCGTGCCAGCACCTACTAGGACACGGGACCTCGGTTTATACGGTCTTATCCGAAGGACCGGTCTCCACGTCCCACAGTGGGATTCGAACCCGCGACGTAAGGATCAACTCCTTACTCCGCGACTCTAGAGCAGAAGCAGACGCTCTTACCACTGCGCCACGCGGGCGACTCTCCAACATGTGTAGCGTAGCGGAGATCAAGTGAATCTTGACATTTTAACTCTGTGCAGAGTAAAGCTAATGCTTATTGAGTTTAGATCTAACATCTTAAAGATTCTAGTACTTAAAATTACAGTTCGTGGTATTTATTCCTAGTATTCGTCTTACGGGGAGGGGTATCCAGACACTCTCCGTAGAATTTTGTGCTGTTAAATAGACAAGGCATCTCCCCTGTAAACGACATCGTCCCCTGCCCCTAACTTACTTAGTTGACTATATGTAAAGAAGCCTTTTTAGAAATTTTGCACTTTATTATTGTATTTAATTGATATACACAAAAATTCCTGGATCCAGCTTTGCAATCAATTCAAAACGTAGAAAGAAAAAACACACGACTTTCCAGAAATATCTCTTTTGAAGCTGCACTAAATCTCTTATTGTTGAAAGTGCAACAGGTACGCGGTATGCAATATGAAATATAAAAACATCTCTTCAGGATTAGTCCCCGACAAGGGAGTTAAGATTGTTTTACCTTGTGTTATTGCTTGGAACTTGTTTTTTTTTTTATTTATTTATTTATTTATTTTTTAAATTTAATGAACCATTCACAGAATTGTAAACTTTAACATTTCTAATTTTTTTGGGGAGTGGAGGGGGCATACGTAAAACAATGTAAAAATACTGGCAATAATTTTTACCTATAGATCTTCTACAAGCAGAGAAAATAAACACCTACGTTTTACTGATTTGATATAATAATTTTTTTTTTGTTATCTAATATTATTTCTTTTCTTATGGACGATATGGCGACTTTCGCGTTTTTTATTTATTTATTTATTTTTTAATAGATTACGGCAAACTCTTTCATTATAATATAAATCAAGAAATACAGTATGATTTGCAGAATTTTTTAACAGTTTTGTCTTACGAGCGGTTAGCCTATTGTCATCTAAATAGAATGACTCAAATATCACAGCAGAATAACAACTTGTGGTCATGAAATGAGTAAAGAACAAAAAAAAATAATATCGTCAGGATATAAGGTTCCCGGCAGCGCTAAAATGAATTTTAAAATAGTTCGGACTTAGTGAGGAAGGCTGTAATCCACAGCCAGCATCTAACAGATTGTTTATGTATGAATATATTGATGAAGACGTAATATTAAAAAGACTGCTGCACCATTAACTAGAATATTTGTATGATACTGGGGGATTGAGCTCCTGAGAGCAGAGGCTCAGTGTTAGATAGATGAAAGCTTTTTGATGTTCACCAAGACGTAGAGAAGGGATCGTTGATTGATTCTCTCAATAATCTACGATAACGGTGTTATTCACACTCTCAAAGTGCTTCTTCCTATTCACTACAGGTAAGTGATTTTTTAACAATTCTTTTAATAAAATTTTAATTATTTTTTTTTTCATTTGATAATTTGTACACTATTTTGTACAAGGACGAAACTCAATTTTTGTGACATGAATAATATATATTGAGTGTTCACGCACATCATTAGAATCTGCATTATTGGCGTCGTCGAACTTTATAATTCCAGATTAAAATTTTCGTGAAATATACGCCGTGCTTTCTTCTTGGCTTTGATTAATTTTCCATCTACAAGACTAGTTTCTTCGACAGAGAAAGAGAACAAAAGTACATGCAAAAATAAACCTAAAAGACTTCTTAAAATTTAAAACGCCATCCGTCTTGTCATTTTCTGGTGATTACATAGATGGCGGTAGCAACCGGGGAGCCACGGGGACCACCCCCCCCCCCCCCAAAAAAAAAACATAAGTACTTTATGCCTATGCCCCCTCAATAATAACGTCTGATCCTCCCCCTTTTTATTTGCATGTCAAGGATTTTATTTGCATGTCAAGGATTGTTTGTGCTTGGTAGTGCCCCCCACCCCAAAATGAAAATGTTGGGTTGTCCCCTAAACTAAAATTGCTTCCTATAGACCTGATACATATATCTAGGACCATTCAGTTTGACAAAACGGTCAATGTTTATAAACTTTATGGAAAACCCTCGTAATCACCATTAATAAGCCATTTTTTGTTTTAACTTTTTCGACATTTACATTTCGACAGATATATAAAGTGAGTACCTTTCAAGAAATTTAGGTACAACCGTACAAGTTTATGGAAACATAATTATCCTGAATTATTACTAGGGCATGTCTTTCACAAAGTACTCAGTAAAATACGAATTAGATGTAAATATTCACTTATGGTCCATAATAATGGTGTTTAACCATGGTCTTGTCTTACAATGACAGGCGTTCTTGTAGTAACAAAGACGGAACCTATAAAGTCTCTCCCCCTTTACTATGATTTCAGGAAATATAGCCAAGAAGTCATAAACTCTAATTAGACTCCAAAAATCCTATAAACATTACGTAATATCTTAATAAAGTGATAAAATAAGTCTCAAACAAACTTTGTAGAACAAAATTGTAGTACGATATTGATATGGAACTGAAATTTGTCTGAAAATTTCTGTCAATTTTACAGAACAGAAGCCTGGATAATAGTTAACGGATCCGTTATTGGCTTTTAAGATTTGATTTATCATCCCGCAAAGGAAAAAAGACTCCTGGACTGATAAATAGTAGTGATTAAATTGTCAGATTGTTTTATTTCAAAAAAATCCCAAGAGTCCCAAAACCCACTCCGAAAATTTAACCATGAAACTCTTTATTATATATCTCTCTTTATATGGGAATAATGACGTTCCTATTGTACCGTTGACACAGTGCTGAAAACTGTCCTTAGTATTATTGTTGTTTTTTTTATCTAAATTTTACAACTTATTCCTACAAATATACATAAGTTGAGGGTATGCCAGAACTGAACTGCCAAGATTAACTATCATGGACTGAATCAGGATTTTATTCCATGCCTTATCAAAATCTCTACATTCACATAAATAATGATAATAATTTAAAAAAAAAAAATCTATGGGTTCGGTAGGTAGTAACAAGTTTCAGTGACCGTTTGACCTAGTCAGCAAATGCAATCTATCATTAATGCTGACTGACTTTTTTCATACTAATTGTTAGGCCATTATTTACACACTGAATTGTCGACGGATTTTTCCGTTATTTCCCGATCATGACAAGGAGTACACGGCGGGTGTGACCGGCCGGCAAGGGATGCTCACTCCTCCATGGCACCTGATCCCACCTCTGATGTCTTAGAGGTCCGTGTTTGCTTATTTTTTGTGTTTTGTTGTAAAGCAAGGGTATAATGATGGAATAGAATCCTTCTTTCCACTTTAATGCGTCCTGTCAAGATTGAAATTCTAGAAAGTATTCAATAGAATTGAGTAAAAGATTCAAATGAAAAGGAATTGATTGTAGCTTGTGGGGCAAAATTGCAAAAGACATTTCAACTTGACAAATTTATAAAGAAATAATAGACGTTTATTCCATTAAGAATTATCTCTCTTTTCAGTGTAACAATGAACCTTAAGGATACAATGAATCAGGATGACAAACGTCAGTAGTCTGTTCCGTGTTAGTGTGTCCTTAAATAAATATAGTTTTGCGAAATTAATATATCATGTTTAGGATTAACATTTTAAGGCTATGTATCAGCTCTATAAATACGAATTATTCTCTTGAAGTTCCCGTATAATAGGCACATTTTAACGACACAGTCGTGAATTACAAGATATTTGGAATTCATTTCTGTCAATGCCGTAATGCTGATAAACTTGACTTCTAAGGAACCAGAATTAAGTATGAGTTATAGAGCGAAATCAGAGATTTTATTGATAATTACTACGCTTTTATTTTTTGTTGTGTACACAACGCCCTTCTAACACAAACAACCGCAGCACACAGGGCAAGATAAGATAAAAGGAACATTGCACCATTATCAAGTGCATGTGTTATGCTTAATGGAACTGCTGACACATAATTCAAGATGAAATACCTTTAAAACCGATCAAATTCAATATTACATCAAGTATGACCAATACCGGCGGTAAATAATTTCCTCATCACGACAAGTTCATCCGTCTATATTGCTTCGAAAATGTCAAATATTTCAAGGACATATCATGTCTTTTCAAACGAATGAATGGTCAACTTTCTATAGCATTACCATAATGTAATGTTCTTGAAAAGGTTACCACATCAAACTGGTAGAAAGAATTCTTCACTCTCTTTTCAAAAATTAATATTTATCTTTAAATATGTCTTGGATTTTCCAGGAACTAGATGAAATAACTATCTATAAATCCAGTCATATTTCATAAATATTACTTTTTTAATTGAAATATCGTGGCGCAAAATTAAGCGGTATCGATTCCTGGCGCACTTGGCTCCTTAGATTAAGATCATCCATCCGCTCTAATCAAAAGTTATCCTCTGGTAGTTGCTGCTTGGACTAAAAAAAATAACATGTGTGTGTGACATGAATGTCTTGCAGAAAGATATTTCAGAATTTCAAGGCTGTAATTCTTTTAATCATGAAGCTTGAAACTCAGACACGATATGATATTCAACAACATGTGACCTCACAGGAAACTGAAATTCAATATCTACATATCAATATCTTAAAATATTAAAATATTGTGTACTTATATAGGGCAAATCAATATATTAAAATATAGTGTACATATATAGTAAAGTATTCATAATACTTACAAATTTAAATTGCAAGTACGGTAAAAATTTGGCAATTGGGTATTTATTTCTGAGCCTGTTTATAATTCATTTACTTAAGGACATACGCAACGTAGTTTGAACTTTATTGTCTTTTCCCCTGGAGTTGAAGAGTTCCAATACTTAAAGGAATTGTGTGCTACATTTTAATGTCTATGTATGCTGCTGTACACTTCTTCTAAAACAAGTTTGGATTCACAAAACATTTAGAATATATGTTCAGTAATTTTTGTATATTTTTCTTTGAATTATACAAGAATTCATCAATTGATATCTTTTAAAAACCCCTGGTAATGAATGCTGATTTTTTGTCTACGAACATCTGATGACACTATAATCTTAAATTAAGAATATCTTGAAAAATTATCAGTAGGTAAGGTACGTTGCGTATGTCCTTAATATTACAAGTTCAGCCCAATATCTTCAAGCTTAGCAAGACAAGCTTGTGCATATTCCGCCTTCCCTTTCACCAATAATTTTGCTAATCTATACTTTACAATATAAAACAAAGCTAAAATACGGTTTTGCTCCCTGAAAAACAAAGTCTGGTGACCTTTCTTTTTTGAAACTTCTATGACGTTGTGCCTCCCCCCCCCCCTTTCCTCTCCTCCAACTGGAATTGCTTGCTACCGGGGCATGTTGTAGATGACAATAAAATTAAATTATTTTTAAAAACTGGACAACTCTAGATCTTCGCTCAGCCTACTGACTGAGTGGATAGACAGTCTACTATTAATGAAACAATTTATTTCAAATAGCGGACTTGCACACATATCCCTACGGTGCATGTAGGTCTTTTACATTCCACCTTAATTAATAAAGTCAGGGAGATTGGTCTAAGTTTTGGTGCATGACGTGTAAAATCTTTAGAGACCCTCGGGGATTAACAGTCCACCAGCAGAAGCCTCGACCCATTTGTCATAATGTAAATAATATACAGTGCCAATTTTGATGCACCAGATGCGCATTTCGACAAATTATGTCTCTTCAGTGATGCTCTTGCCGAACCGTTGGAAATCCAAAATATTTGAGTAAAAAAAAACTTTGAAGAGCTGAAAAAGGGGATGTCAATGACTGGAGCCAAATACGTCGAAGGATCAGAGCTATGCATGAGGGAGATAATTCTTAATTTTGAAATAAATTTATACATTTTACCACAGCAATCAAATACTAGTACATAAATTATCCGTATTTTCAAGCTAGTCATATGTCTCTTTAAGCATTTTAAGATTGCCACTTTCATTTTTCTAATTTATAGTCTCATTAAAGATCTTTTATTGGAGCAATAAGATACCATTGATTATAAAATTTTAATTACTGCTTTCTGGATTTTGAGGAAATATGATTTGCATAAGTAATAAATAGACGCCAAGCCGTCGACTCTAGCGTATAAAATATTTTAGATACTAAAAAAAAAAAATTTAGAGAAGTCTCTGTTTATAACGTAAGAAAGAACCGTGTTAATCGTAGAGTTGTATTTGATAGGTGGAATTATTTTTGTAATATGAACAGTTGCATAAAGTGCCGTTTTGAAGACATTAATATTGTACAGCGGCCACACGTGGAAATTTTAAGATTTGTGGATGAAGCATAGTTTATTTACGTCAGGTGGATGAGAAGGAAAAAAATAACAAAAGTTTCCGTACATATATCTCTTAGTGATAGCTCTGTTTTGACCCTTGCAACACGGCATTTCT